GAACCTATTGCAATAAAACGGCAATTTCATACTTTAACCCCTAATATGTATAGCACGTTTCCATGTCAATATGTGCCATACTAAATTACTCAGTATATGAAGTAATGCAATGAACGTTCCACGTCTGTGTAATTACATTAGTACAGAGCTAAATCATAGTACTTGCAAAATTCCTGTGCAGGTATTGCGGTAGGGACTGATTCAGATTGATTAAATAACATCTGACTTACCTAGTAGTCTGCAAAGCTTTTTATTAACTGCGAAAAGAAAGAAATGTAGAAAATTAAACTAATTTCGAAGACTAGTCTCAGATTCATGGATAAAAGAACCAACTACTAAGGTTTATTACCCTCTAAACAATGAGATCTCGGCATTAACATTGGCTGCCAAGTGATTTAATACTTGTACCCATCTGTCCGTAACACTACTTTAGAGTGTAATTTGCAAAAAACATCAGTTAATTTCATTTTATATCACTGTTTTGTATAAAGAAATTCAAATCTTCAAAAACATCGTATAAAACCTACTCCAACCCTTATTATAGTTATACGTGTACGTATTACGTGCATTACGAGTATATGTATCGTGCAAGTATTAATAAAAAAACATGTTGTTGGAAATAGGCCATGGAGATGCGCACTTAAATGTCGAATTCGTTGACAGGTTTTTATCCGGAAATCCGAATTCCTAGTTACTTCCTGCGCAAGCGCAACTCTTCTTCGTCTAGGAAAGCGATAAGAACAAGGTATATTTCGGTGTGGCTCACGGTTAAACATAGTCTCGCCCACGCGGCTCGCATGTTACCACCGCCACCGATCGCCACAAGCCCAGTCCCATCTTCCATCTCGACAACTGTACACGCGACCAGGTCAGTCCAATTTCTTCCTAAACCTGTCCCTTTTTAGTTTCAATATCTCTTGGCGAATTCCTTCACTTTCATTTTGTAGTACATTTATTGCTGTGCGATATCAATCCAAATCAACAAGTGTCATTGTTATGTTTACGTTAATTGTGTCACGATCACGATCTCTACACGTAACCCAATAATACGTTTTAAATCAGAAATAGTTTGAATACAAATAAATACCTATTTTACGTGCGTTCGGATTTCGAGTGATTATTTTTAGCTGAGCCGTTCAGTGAGTGCATTTTACAATACGTCGGCACGTACAAAAACCGGGTTTTCGTTACTAAAAATATCCCCATATCGAATGTTTGCGAATTCTATTTTCAATTTCTTCCACTGTTCGCCCGCCTCCCGCCCCTCGGTGCCTAAGGTAGACAATCTATCAGGTGATTTGTGCGCCTCGAAGTGTCACACGATAATTCTAACTGATAATTGTATATTTTCTTACTCGTATATCTTATGTACATCTAATAATTAGTAGCACAAGATAGTGATTCGAATGTAAGAATCCCATTGAGATCATTCATTGAATTTCGTTTATTTTCGATTTGATGCCAAGAAATAAAACTTTTTTCGTCGTCCGTACTTTAAATGACGTAGCAGCCTGTGATATGGGAATTAACTGTTGTGTTTGCTTGTGTTAGGACAATTCAAGTGCGTTGGCAACCAAAAGCCTCGAGGTGCCCTTGAAATGCGCATACATGCGATGTGATTAATATTAGAACATTGTTTACGACAGGAACATTAGCCTGACTTGCTATCTATAAAATGGACTACAAAAACGTTGTAACTAGTTTATTACTGTAAACAAATCACTAGGGAACTAAAATAACATGCAGGCAATTATTCATTCTTCGTAACATAAATGTTGTGTTCGGTTGAAAATATCTAGCTTCTGTTTCTATAAGCTATGAAAAGCAATTCAAATAGCAAATAAAACGTTTAAGAATGATAAATTTCATGAACAAAACAACTGTTTTGAAAGGAGTTATACTAGATATTATTTTTATAAACTGAACATTGGTCCAATACGCTTAAGTTAACGATGATTTACCATTTACAGAAATTGGGTACCAATAGTTTTAATAAGAATATTGTAGACAATTTCAAAATGACGCGACAATTCCATAATGTAAGCGTATTTTTATCGCACGTAATACACTACCATTTTAAAGGGTGTCCTTGTTCACAATTAATAAACGATCGCCAATTTTGTCGTCACTCTCCGCTCAACGCATGTTGATTTTAAACGCACATTAACATCAGCGTTGTAAACATTTACATTTACATGAACGTTTACATGTATGTTGCATAATGGAAAAATCATATATGTATATCATTGAGGAGACGTATCGTGTAAAGTGACCCGAATATTTTGTTGAGGTGTTGTATATACATATTTATTAGAGACGCAAACATACAAATGCAGAAATATCTAAGTTTATAAATATAGGTCTGCTATTCCGTCACTATGGAATTTGTTCCTTTTTTGTTTATCCTCTTAGTAAACTAACTACTTTCGAATCAACAGGGTCATTGAAGCAAAATGAGTCGTGTAGGGCGAACCCGACGCACGCGCGTCTACGATTGCAACTACAACAAAGGCGAGAGTTATTATCGACCAGTGCTAGACCGTCTTGATGGCAAGACCCTTGCGCCTCGTGAGCCTGAGCGCGACCGCATCCGAGCTGACGTCGATAGCCGCATCCGCAGCGCCCTCGAAGACATCGAAACACCACAACGCGATCTAGATCTCTTTGACTCCAGGGGAGGACGTGTCCAAAGAAATAGACCCATCTCTACTGCTTTCGAAGAAGATGAACTTGGCGAAGATGTAAGTTCGTATTTTCATTTCGTTTCAAGGAAAATTTATATTGTCATAAAATGTACTCGTCTCTCATAAATCTTTCTTTGTTACATCATCACAGCTTACAAAGAAACAATAAACTTTTACAGTTATTGTTACGACAGTGTCGTGCAAATCGTAATACTAGCTAAGATCTCAAAAACCGAGTTTATCGTTTAGTATATTATTCAATTCGTCTTAGAAATACCACTTTAAGAATCCTGTGAGTTAAGTTGGTAATAATGGAATCGTCAAGGTTAGTAATACTTGGGGGAATTTCATTAAAAAATTTCATTAGCATATTCCACAGAAAACAATATTCCAATATCAGTCAGTGTAAATGCAAATTACTCAGTCGGCTGCGCACATAAAGGAAATGTTAATACGTAGGTACATTATGGGAAAATAACTTTCGTTACATTTTATGTTTCACTCATTTTACAAGAAAATATTGAAAGAATATTATCAAATGGGAACAAAACTGTGTGTTGAAACTACAACCACAATCAAAAAGTTGCGTTAATCGCGTGTAATACGTTAATAGATTTTAATTTCCCGTTTTATTTTTTCTATTCAGAAAATTCAAATACTTAATATGTAAAGACACCTTTTCAAAACAAGCTTTTGGGTCTATGAAAAACAAGAACGACTTTAATACCATTGAACATACGTTTTCAATCATCTGAATCCATTTACCAGACACAGCTCTCATTGAAAACGTTGGCTATGATTGTCCGTCCTTATGCTCTGACTACATTTTTTACAACTGGTTCGAAATACTCCCTCTGACTAATAACGACGGATGCCACAAATTGAAATATATTACTACTGTACGCAAATTAATTAAGAAATTACTATTTTTATAAACTACCCACTGAACGTGATGAAAATGTGAACACATGTATAAATAAATATTCATGTACCATCGACTCTATATTTTATGACGTTAAATTTAGCCGATTTATATTAAATGAAAACGATTGTGATTCTTGACTATGGTTTCACCTATTAGCGGGGTCTTTGTAGGTAAATACAAAAAATCTAGGTCTAGTAATGGACTGCACATTAGCTTGGACTTCTCATGTCAACGAGGTTAACAGACGAATGCACTTCTCATTTCACTCTCTCAAACGACTCCAATACTTTGTCCCTTTTCGTACCAAAATTATGCTTGCGCAAACTTCTACTCCCCTTACTCGACTATGCCAACATTTGTTATTTAGATGTGACCGAAGAGCTTATGAATGAACTAGAGCACCTACAAAACTTGGCTATCCGAATTATTTTCGGTCTCCGTAAGTTTGACCGTGTTTCCGAATTTCGCGCTCGGTTAAAATGGCTTCCAATGCGCCTTCGCCGTGATATGCATATCCTGTCCTCCCTTTTTAATATACTTCATGACGCCAACTGCGCTTCCTACCTTCGTTCCTGGTTCCAGTTGCTACCCCCTCCCACCCGTTCATGGCGTCCGTGCATCACTAAGACGCTCTGAACGAGCGTCCTAAGTATAAAACAGATTTCTTTTTTAACTCCCTTTCTTCTCGTGGAACGCAGTTGTGGAACCGACTTCCTTCCCATATCCAGTCTAGCCCGTCTATCGCTTCTTTCAAGAAAAGGTTAAAAGCGCACTTTCTTGCTGAACTATCTTAGCAATCATCTTATTGCATTTTTGGACATACTTATTAATGTATATATGTATATATGTAGTGTAATATATGTATATATTACACTATTTACACATTGAAGATTATTGATTATTATTCATTATAATGCTTATGCAAGTAACTGTATTTTTTTCACTCTCTCTTGCACGCTATTGCCCGCTTATAACCTTAGCTCTCACTGCCCTGAGTTGGCTGGAAGAGATCTCTTTTAGAGATAAGTCCACCTTTGCGCACTTTCTCTTAATCTAATATTTCTGATGTATTTTACTTGGTGCAATGAAGAATATATAATTTCGCTCAGAAGCAGATATATTTATAAGATTCTTAGTATTAGATTTGATAAATAAATACTTGATAAATCAGTCAGTCAATTATTAACAAACATCAATTATCCTAAGTCCAAAACAGCATTGGGCCAGTGAGGCGGACTATGGCCTTTACCCTCGTTTGAAAGGAGACCCGTGCCCAGCAGTGGGATGTATAAAAGGATTGATGATGATGATCCTAAGTACGTACTAAATATGTGTGTATCAAACGAAAACGTGGGATGAAGCGTCCCTAGAATTGTGTTTTTAAAATACGGTTACAAACAGCAGCCAACAAACATAAATGCGCGTAAAAATCACCAAAATAATCCGCCGACGATCTTACGAAATCAACCGTTCGTCAACTGCGAAAAATACCTATAAATAAACTTGGTTCCAGAGTTCATTCAATTAAATCCTGTTTACTATTGCGCTTCACGCATATTTGAATGTGGCAACTTTAAAAATACTATGTCTTTTGATAGCGTTGTTATCAGCAAATGGGTTTAATATTGAGAAAGTGTGGCAGTGTGACGGCGTGACAAACATATGTGCATTCAAATTTATTTGTGATGCAAAGAATAAAAAGGCTGTATAAGAGTGCATTTTGAACCACTGTAATGCGCTTTGCATCATACAAGGTTAACATAATTTATGTGTAGACAGTCACGCAATAATTTGTGGACTGCATTCGGTCTAATCTGTCAAAAAAAACCGATAATTAAAATATCTTCGTGTTACATTCTCAAACTCGTATCTTAAAGCACAAAGTTACTGAAATGCTAAAAATGGATTATAATATTTTGCAGGCTGATTTGTCGCATTTTCTTCATACTCACACACTGGCTTTTATCTATTGTTAAAGTAATGCATCCAAATTAATACCCTGGATACGAAATTTTAAATAAATAAAAAGTTTTGCCACCTACTGAATAATCACTCTTTATAAGATACGAGTTTGAGAAAGTAAGGCGACGATATGTGTATATTTATCGACAATTACATTTGTAAAGAATGAAACAAATACAATTTTTTTTTAGGTTTTTGCGATTTTTACACATAAAAAATAACATTGTTTTTTGGGATCAAAATCGCGTTTTTTTTTTTAATTGGTAAGTACACTCGTACAATGGAATGTTCTTTGGTAAATTTAAAAATAAGGTACTTAATAATATATCTTTTATAGCTAATGAAAAATAGGGTGGTTTGTTAATATTAGACATGTTATATGAATATTAATATTAGACTGGTCGGTGACTGTACCCAGTCACCTGTGAAGGATCCGAAACGTTGGTTTATTTGAAAAAACAAATATACGTGATTTGAATACGACAAAATAGTTTCATTTCCTAAATAAAATTTTTATTTTATAAAATATATCCTATATTGTTGATTAACATCGAGGTTATTAAATAATTTAACACAATTATTACAATTCTTAATTTTGCCTTTGAAGACATTACAATGACACTCTTTTGAACTAAATCAGTTTGGCATGGCCTAGCTCGCAATTGATCAGAATGATGTGCTCGAATTGACATAAATTAAGACGACACTTTCCAAAAAAATATCTAAAAAATTAGGTATTTGACATGTGTAAACAAATTATTTCGATTGCAACGTATTAATTCCTTTAAACTTGATTCATTGACACTGATATGATCGCCATAATTTTTATATTATTCTTATAAAACTGACATTGGCACAAGCCTAGTGGACGAAATAATAATGAGCGGTTACAGCGCGTAGCTTCATGTTTCAATAACAATTACCGGCACTGCCCACCGATAGGTATTTTTTTATAGAAAATATAGTCTTACTATGCAAAAAAAGTAATAATTGTTACTTACGGATCGTCTTTTAGGCTACATTCAATTTCATGATCAAATCCTGCTATTAACTACCTCACAATGGAAGTAGGGTGAAAAAGTTAATTCTTGCGGCCGTTATCGGTTTCCACATTATACACCTATACGCCTGTGCTGGTGGCGTTCTGTCGACTGTAAAACAGCCTGGATAGCAGTAATATAGCCTGGTCCAAGGGTAGTAATAGCCTCCGCAAACCCCGCAGCCTCCATACGTTTTACTTAGCAAGTCTTAGCAGTTGAAAAGACGAAAATCCGGTTTATAGGAATTTATTCAGTACAACAACTATATTAATTTCTTAAAATGTAAACGGTTCAAAAATAAGAAAGTAGATGTTTTCGCAGAGAGAGTTCGTGTTACGAAGCAAAATGAGAAAGCGAAGGAAGATGGAACAATTCAAATTTAAAATTTAAATACAAGCAAAAGAAAAAATGATACGATACAAAAAGGTGAGATGACGGTGTAAGGAGGTCACACCGTCACACACCTACACGTTGCCGATGCACGATCACCGCGTAATTATATTCCTGTCTCGATAGCTCAGCGTAGCAACTTATTAGGAGCAGAGAATTCATGTACGTATACACAGCCCACACGCCACTTATAGTCGTATTTATCATCCGGTAGGTATGTGTATCTCGAAGTCCGAACTCAAATTTAATTAAGATATTCGTATTGCGAATTTGCTATGCTAGTAATACATGAAGAGGAAACTTTTCTGTTGATCATAGTTGCTTACTGAACTCATAATTACATAATTTTTTTAATTTCGGCAATGAATCTTATCAAAGTTCGTCAACCATATCAATCGGGACACATCCACATCCAAGTTTTTAAGAATGTCGTGAGCCATCCTTTATGCAAATAGAGCTGGACTATTTTGAATTAAAAATTTCGTAGGTCAATGTAAACTCAATTTTTGTCCGTCGACTACGGCCTGGGGTCGTACTCTCGTAGCACGAAATCCGTAGTTACAGTCGTTTTCCCACTATGAACACTTATAGACTTGAGTTTCGATTGGGGTTAGATCTAAGAATATATAATAATGCGATTTGACAGTTTCAAACGAATCCATTTTTTTGTTTACGGATTTCGAGAGTAGTTCCGTAGGTCATCCATAGTGGGAAAACGGATTTCGTGCTCCGAGAGTAGGGCCCCTACTCCCGACGATCTTGTCGTGACCTGCAACATATATATAAATATTCTGCATCGATTGACTCGGATGTCGGATGCGGATACAGAAGTCTGCGGTATCTTTAGTCCGTATATTCTATTGTAGCATCCTATTAGAGATGCTAATGTTTACCTAACATTAGCGTCTCCAATAGGATGCTACAACAGAATATACGTAGTTTAATTTTCAAATGCAGTAATTATTACCATTTCATATGTGTGTCACCAAAAGTACATACAAAAATTTCAAATCGTAAAGTCTTGATAATAAAATTGAAAAGATTGAATTAAATTTATGTGTTTCACAATTGTGAAACGTCCGGACGTTATTATGCGTACGTGTGGTTTTGTTGTTTTGCACACAACAATGCGGATATACATAATGTACGTATAGCCGTATAAGGAATGCCAAACATCGGGTATTTTGTCATCAGAATTTGATTTCAAAATTACTAATTATGCAATGCATGCCAGTGAAATGCCAGCATATTTCGCATTATTCACTACCCTGATTACAATACAATCATTAACAAGTTACTCAATCGGTATGCTGACGACAATCAATTTTGGTCGGTTTAATAATAAAACTGTTATTACCTCTTGAGCAATATGTTATAAACCGGATAAAGGTAATCCCACGATACCAATCTTCATCACTCATCAATCAAGTTCGTACCAATCACTATTTAAGGATAATAATGATATATGATACATACAAATACAATATTTCGAGTCAAAAAAGTCTATCAATAAACTATAAAAGAAATATCGCTAAAATTTAATTTTGAGTACACCAAACGAACGACATTTAATCATCTTTTTCGTCCAAATTTCAATAACATAATATTTTGACATGAAAATTACTTGAGGGCGAACTATAAATTTCCGGAATGAATAAGAAACAAAATACTATAAACGGTCAGAAATGAATTTGTTTCTCAAAATATTCTTTGTTAGCGTCAATGCACTTTTTCAAACGAATGAACCAATTTTGATAAAAATTATGCCACTCCTCCGTGACAATCTCTGAAACATATTTTTCGTACTCTTCGACAGCCTCTTCAGGTGATAAAAATCGTTGACCGCGTAACTGGTTCTTAATTTTTGGATATAAATATAAGTCACAAGGTGCCAGGTCGGGACTGTACGCGGGATGGCTCATAAGGTCAACGTTGATCACCTTCAAAAATTCATTTGTCTGTCTGGCCGGGAGAGAACTGGCATTGTCGTGGTGCAAGATAATACGGCGTTTTCGGTTATTTTTACGGAGTTTGTCAATAACTTCCGGAAAACAAATGGTCGTGTACCAATCACTATTCACAGTACAACGATTCTCCAAAGCAACAGTAATCACGTGTCCAGTTTTATTAAAAAAAGAAGCAATCATTGGCTTAGAGGCACTTTGAACGCGCGCCGTTTTGGTTGGTTTCGGCTCATCTCGAAAGACCTATACGCTCGATTGCTGCTTTGTTTCAGGAACGTAACTATAAATCCATGTTTCGTCACCTGTTACTATGTTCCACACCAAATTTGACGGCCTTTCGTTGAATCTGGTAAGCATGGCATTGCACCAAGTGACGCGATGCGTTTTTTGAGCCTCAGTCAAATTGTGTGGGATCCACCTAGAGCACAGCTTTTTCACACCCAAATGTTTGTGTAGTATTGATTGTATTTGACTCACGTCTATGCCTAAAGATGGTCGAATCTTATGGTATGTCACATGCCTGTCTGTTTTGATCATACGGCGTACAGCATCGATGTTTTTGTTGCTCACAGCAGTAAAAGGGCGACCATCACGAAATTCGTAACTGAGATTCACACGACCTCGTTTGAATTCTGCAAACCAGATATAAAGTCGTCTTGCATGGTGTTTCATCGTCAAAAGCAGTTTGAAGCCGAGCGAAGCTCTTACATTGCACTTAAAGTCGTAGAAAATCATACTACGAAAATTTTCCCGAGTTAATTCCATGGTGATATAGACAACCAATTTCTAAAATGGCGCCACTATGTTAAAATAAGTGACAGTCAGGTGAAACAAACTGTATTCTACAGCCAAAGAGTTCCATTTTCAAATGTTGTAATTAATTTTCAAATATTGTTTATGTAAGTGGCCAGTTCCGGAAACTTATAGGGCGCCCTATGTATGAGCGGACTCTCTGTTGTTGATATTGCCATGCCAAATACAATGTTAATTATAATAAAACTGGCTCATTCATTGTGAGTTTAAAATTTATATAGCTACAATTGTATCAATTGTTTACTTTATTTATTTGGTGCTTAACTGGAGAGTTACTTTCATCATCCATAACGAATATCAAATTCCTTTTCAAGAGGTATATTTAATCACATTATTGGTTTCGTCAATACCATGCAGTACAGACGGTACAATTTAGTATCACTGGGCGGCAGCCGAGCAAAGTTCCAATGCGAGACCCAACTTTGACTTAAGGAACTTTGAGATTCTTGCCTCTGCTCACTGTATCTTCGTTTTAATATAGCCTACGGGAATAGACAGGTGAACTCTGAAGACGATATTGGTTGCATATTCTACTTACAGTTTCTAAAGTATTCTAATCTAAAGTACTACGTTTTGTTTTCAAGTTTAAGCCCCTTCGCCTTCGATGTGGTTAATAGGTATTCACGTAATGGAAAATTTTACAAGTCCTACAAACACAACCGAAGATTCGCTTAGTTCAAGCAAATTTAAGCAAATGTTGTATAACATCGATGGTGTATCATTTAATCTATAATTTATAATTTATAATATGTAATATTTTTTATTAGGATAACAGCAGAAGAGCTTCCGTTCTTGTAGAATGGAAAATTAATGATGAAACGTTTGAGATAGTCGGTATCCGAATTTAAATGAATTTATCGTCCTTCGTCATCTAATCAAATAATAAAATTTATAAAGTTAAATATTTGAAGGTTTACCTTTAAGAACAGATGGCTGTACAATAAGCTATATACTTCCGCCTATTCCCAAACAATGTAGTCTTCGTTAAATTTAAACGCCAATCTCGAGACACCGTTACCCACAAGCAGAGCGAGAACGCCGGACGGAAATAGCTCAAACATTACTAACCGCTCAGATGATAGCACTGCCAATCCAAATGACATATTCAAATTTAAATATACTTTTTACTACAATGCAACCACGAATTGCTACTTATTTACGGCATGACTCAAAAATGTAATAGAAACTTGTTGCTTTTTTCAGATTACAGAATCACTGAAACGTCTGCGTGCCGGCAAAAAGACATCTCGCTTCGCTGAAGACATCGATTTTGAAAACAGCGTCTCCAACCTCGAGAACCGCGTAAGAATCTCTGATAAAATTCTCGAGTCCGTTGGCGTAGGGCAGAGCGACATCAGCAGCGCAAGGCGAGCTCTAAAAGACAATGAGGAACGCACAGAAAAGCGTATCTCCCGCAGATTAAATGACGAGAATCAATTGACGAAATGGTCCGCAATTAAGTCTGATGACGAAATCGCGGCTGCACAAAGAGCAAAAATCACCAGAGCACGCCTCACTGACCTAGAAGACGAGATGTCCGAGCTAAACGAGCGTACTGCAGCCCGAGAGAAGCGCGCCGCGCGCCTCCGTGCCATCGTCGCCGACACCGATGTAGCTGACTCCACGGTCGCCGCCTCCAAGATCAGTATCCGGGCCGAGAGAGAAAAGAAGCAAGTTACCTTCTAAACACGCTACAAACGCTTTCTTTGAAATCTTTCAAAGTACTCTATGCTCTAAAACAGCGAGTTTTATAGCACCGGGAGTTTATATTTTGGAGATAGAAATGTTTGTTAGAACGTATTTTCCTGCATTTGTCTATGAACGTGTTGATGTCTATTTTATACTTTTTGGATAGATAATGCGCTTTGTATTTCCCTGTTTTTATTTATTGTCTTAATAAAAACACAAAACTGTATCCGTTTGAGTATTCTTACCGACCCAACTACTTCTCATGAAGATTTCTAGTCACTTCTAAAGTATTCCTTTTAACTGCAAAAAAAATGAGTTGAAGAAATCCGTTTGAATTATGTTTAGTAATAGGCTTATGGAAATAGTCTTATCACTGTAAACAAAATGAGTTTTAAAAGTTGCAAATGGGACACGCAATGCCATACTATCAATTTTGGACCGTGCTTATTAAGTGCATAAATGTGCTGTTTTTGACTAGTACATAAATGAGGCCTAGTCACAGGCAAGATCGGAAGAGTCATCAGGATAACATTGCAGGATACAGGAGTTTACAAGCCTGACTGTCAGTGAGGTCTCTCTTATATTGAACAAATGTAGCGAAGTATTTGTACCCGCTTCAAAGAACGTAATGTAAACTGATGTCAAACACCACCACGTAAATAAGTTTACTGTCTGCGAGCATATCATGGATAAAACTGCACACTCAATTAAGTATCGTAATCGACAAACCCCAGTTCCTTGCAAAAGAAGTCAGTTATCTACCCAGAATGCTGCGAGAGGCCATTTAAATTTAAAAAGACGTCCTAATTTCAACAGGGAAGACGGTTTCTCTGTACCACCAGTTTGGGATCCAGTATTTCCTCTGATGAAAAATGCCAAGCAGACATACGACTGCAGTACTAAATAATATGTTTTCATTTTTTCTAATACCCATTAATAATTAATGATAAAATTTGATTAATAAGCAATTCATGATGTTAAAATCATTAAAATGAAATAATTTGTAAAACATATGTAGCATAAATAGGCGCGTTCCTTGGAAAAAACTAAGATAATTAATAAATAGCTTTTGTAACAATAGTGAAAAATATAATAGCATGGTTTGCATTAATATTCGACATAACTGGTTGATGACTTTACCATCTCAGTCACCCGTGACCATAGGACCCGTAAAGGGCCCTAAACGTTGGTACGTTTGAAACAACAAAATACGCGATCCGCAGAAAATGTTTCATTTCCTATGAGACCCAGTAGTTGCTACGGGTTTGGGGTTTTGTATAGTTATTAAATAAGAATAAATAGTGTATTAGTTTAAGTTTAGATTTATTCTTCAAAAGTAGTTGCACATTAAAGTTTCTGTATTTTGCGTAGGTTAATATGAATAAGTAACATTAATTTTACGCCGTATCTCGTATGTATTTCATTTCATAAAGCGTCTAAGGAGTAGAGTCGCATTTTCCTGTATAAGTGGTCTATGTTAACTCATTCATTGCTGGCTCTTTTCTATGGACAACAAATTAATAATCGAAATTTTGTTGTGCATATTGTATTTCCATTATTATTACGTACCCAATATCATATCATACTGTAAAATAGAGTGAAATTAAAGTAAAGCAAAACGAATGCTCTTAGCGAAAAGTATACAAAACTCGTTTGTTAAAAAAATCTACTGAAATGTTGACAAATTTCATTTGCAGTAAAATTATAATAACAAGTACATTTTGGTAGCCTTTTCCGTGGTAGCTTAATGGTTTGATATACTGCGTCCGAAGCAGAGTGTCGTCGATTCGAATCCGGGCTCACACCTCTGAATTTCTCGAAATTTATGTGCGAAATTTAATTTGGAGTTTATTAAGAGCTTTTCGGTGAAGGAAACATCATGATGAAACCTGCACGTTGAAGAAGGTTTACAACCCTCGGGAAACGTGTCAAGTCCCCAACGCGCATCCCCGTCAGAAAGGAGACCCATGACCAGCAGTGAGACGTATAAAAAGGGTTGATGATGATGATGTTTGTAAAAGTTGCTACCATATACCAGATTTCGATTTTAATACAGCGCCCGCTATAGAATTTATACAAAAGTGATTAACACAGTCGTGTATGAATCCCCAATATTATGTGCAAGAGTGAATATTTCAGATGCTCACATAAAACAATAGCGGTTTTACAAGGTTTTTTTAGAGCGAGATTACAAAGAAGTTCGGGCCTGACTTCCAAGATGGCGCTGCATAATTAAGTGAAATTGAAATTATATAGCAGAAATTAAAGACTTCAATCGATATATGTAGTTTGTCAAAAAGGACATCATTTTCTTTTATTAGACAAATCCTGTTACATCGTTATAGAACAACACAGTCAACGGACTGCAACTTGGTAACTTGCTATGTAATTCTATAAAAACCAATTGAAGGTCCATCACATTAAAACAAGCAACTAATTATAATTAGACTTTCGCCGAACGTACCTAACCATTATAAATTTCATAACACCTCAGCATCAAGTTGAGTTTTCGGTAGAAAAGTAAAGAAAACAATGTAAGTATCTGCCTGTGAAAAGAAATCGCTAGATTTCATTTTATTAAAGTGGCACTTCCTCAAAACGTTACCATTTCAAGACTTATTTATAACGTAAGTTACGTCATTAAAAGTCTTCTTAACGTAAATTAGCTTGTGCCTAAGTAATAATTCCACTCAACTATTCTGTTCTGTAAGTAACTAAAAATGGAATTTGTTTTCAAAAAGTTTTATGAGAAATAATGATCCCACATAAGCGCTCGTTACAAGAGGTTTACACAGCGAAGCGGCAATTATAACGCGATCAATTTCAAAGATTGCGTTACGTCAAGGGCGTCCCGATGCAAGGTTCTCGTCACTAATTGGAGCGGACGTTTCGCAAATCGAGATCACAAACTTCTACAGAGTGTACTTGTACAAATTCGCAGACTCTAACTGTTGGAAGGATCGTACTCGAGTCGCCATGGATTCAATCAGTCTCATCCCTCCTCTTATGAAAGTTTGAATCTATTTTAGAACTGCGGAAACTGTCTGTAGTTGATCTGTGGTGTATTCCCAAATTATAACTCAATTCCGAAGCTCGAGTTATTTATTCACGACCGCTTCTAGACATTGATATCTGCACGACAGCTGGCTAACCAGCTTTAAGACGTGTTATTTTACTTTGTCACTTACATTACATTTACAGAAAGAAAATGGAGAGTGTAGATTCCGCCTTGAGGCGAATGAAACTCCTTTGCATCTCCTTCTAAGCCAGGAAATGTCCAGTTCTTTAATAATCTTGGCCTTGGCTCCGAACTGTTTTCGTGGTGATCACAATAGATCAGTTAATAGTCGCAGTGATGAGGGGCTGCATAGTCCCTGAATGAAGCCATGATAATAATAATAATGTATTAATAATAAATTATTATTAGCTTGGCTATCATATATACTTACCATAATATTATTGTTTTCACACTTAATTATGTCTAGATAAATTTAATACTTCATCCCTCTCTAATGGGCTCGACTCTGCTTTGCCATTATTGTAAATGCCAATTACTTATCATGAAAATTTATTTACTGGTAACCGAATCAAAGCATAAATAAATGGAAAAGCAATTAGTTTGTTATTAAAATCACGGTTTGCTTACAAAGTAATATATTTGTACTCGAAGTACAACGTAGATACCGACATTAGTACCTATGCATTAATAACATTGAAGTGGTTAAGAATGAAATTATTATAATATAGCATACAGTCACGCCTATTTCAGTGTACTAGAAACCCATACTAGAATACAGAATAATCTCAGTACAGAGTACTAAAAAAAGCGACCTCAAAAGTACGTGGAATTACGTCTATTTACTAAGTTTTATTACAATATCCCCTAGTTCGCCACTATACAGGACTTGACATTGGAGATAATAAAAATCGGTTCTCAGTACTCAAAGTAAACTGAGAGAAAAACGCCTTCAATTGGAGAAATAGCAAAATCAACCATTAAAATAATTGTTTCTAAATCAAAGTTTAGGCGCTATTTATGAAAATGAATCTTCATGCGTGAACAGCCACCAGAAATGGGACCACTATGGAAGTACCCCCTTTCCAACAAAAAAAGAATCATGAAAATCGGTTCACAAATACCGGAGTTATCGCGTAACATACATACAAAAAAAAAGAACATACAGTCGAATTGAGAACTTCCTCCTTTTTTGAAGTCAGTTAAAAAGAATTTGTATGTTAAATGATTGGACATTGTTTATACTTTATGTCCCTTAAATTTTGATGATGTACGAGTACACATAGACGTTTTACAACATCACGTCACTAAACAAACAACGCTTAATATAATTACTTTTAAAAGGTTTTTTCTACTCCTGTACTTTAAGGTGTCAATTTTCATAAATCACATAACAAGGCTTCTAAGCATAGAGCTATAATTACTGTAATTACTTCTAATCACAAAGGCACTCGTTTTAGTTCTGAACCAAAAAGTCTATTGTCTATGGTTCTCGCTACTGAACCTTACACTATTTTCCATCCTATAAGTACTGAACTGAAAAATTTAAATAAAATTCTGTACGTGGAACTTAAATGAGTTTAGTAAAAGAAGTTGCATTTTTGCTAATAAAAAGAGTCTCCTTGAACGCTTCACCGTGTTCCTGAACAGAATAACGTCACTATATTTGTAAAATCATTAAAATTAATGTTATTTTTTTAAATATCTCAATAAGTTACCTAACAGGTACAAAGTTGTAAAGATTAGGAAATAAAGAACTGTTTATAAACATTATAAAATATCAAACTCGACGCTATTCAAACGCTCTACAGCCTCCTGATTGTTTAAAACATGTTTCATTATTTTAATTTACTCATAGAAAAAGTATTGTATGCAATTATTACATATAACTTGGTCTTAAAAGCTCGTACTTATTACTTAGGTCATCTATCGCTTAAAGCTATGAAACCTAAACACGGTGCTCGACTTTAACAATAGCATAAAATATTATAAACCTCCCAGACTATAAGTAAATGAATGAGCACACCTGACTATTTTTTTCCCTGTATTTGCAACATTTTTCAAAATATTAACAGTAATATTTATGGAGATAGGGACTGAGACTTATTTTTAATACATAAGAAAAGTAGTAAATTATTACAAGATAAAGAAAGAATAGAGTGTAAATAACTACTGTAATAAATTAGTCATTCATAGTTTACC